CTGAGGTTCTCATACTATAGCAGTTTCCCTTGTTCCATATTGCCTTCCTGTAATCCATTCTTCACATTTCAGATAAATTTATCTAAATCTTATCTCTGAACTTCAAATCCTCAGTCATTCCCTGGAATTGTTGTGATAATTTTCAAATGTCTTCAAGTAGCCTATGTGTCCCCACACTACCAGGTTTCCACTTATCTCACTAGCCTCCTTGCTTTCTGCTTACCATCTTGTACTTCATCTTTTTTAGATACTTATCAATTTATTGGTTATGATTTACTCTATTGCTTTGTGTACATTCTTTCTTCTTCATCTAAATCCTCATATTTTCTATTGTAATCATGAACATATAAGTTTTATGTGCATCAACTACCCAATACCACAGTGAGTGGTAGAAACATGCAAGGCTAGGCATTGTTCTGTTTGTTTTACATATGTTACTCTTGTATAATATGGATTCTTTGACTTAGAAACTGCTTTGCTTCCACACATGAAGACTCCTGGAAAGGTCAGAAGCTACATCCCTGAAGTTACACCAACATTAGCTGCTCTTACATGATCTGAACAAGGACAATACAATAAGCATATTAATGTGGTTGGGAGAACTCATGAAGCTTCAAACTTGGACAAAGGACTACAGGCAACTAATAAGAACATAGCAGGAGAAGTAATCTTCCTTGGGAAAGACCACACCAATTGTTCACCCAATAACAAATAGTTATCTGAAATATACATACAAATATGAAAGACGTATATAGACTGAGCCATTACACAGACTGAGCAGGTTGTATTCATGTATTTAGAAATTCACACACATATATACATGTATCTATATATAAATGTAACAACAATTTAAAAAATCAAAAATTCAAATAGGAACAAGATGGTATGTGAGGGTTTGAAGTGAGAAAGTGAAGAGGAAATGATATACTATCATCTCCAAAAAAAATATTTTTAAAGGCGAAGTACAGCTTTCCATGTACCACAGTATTTAAAAAATGTATGTCTCTGCAGCTCAGTTTTCCTCTGAATTTCCTAGTAAATCATTGTAGTGAATGATTGAAATAAATGTAGTGCAGACTGAAGTGGACCAAGGATAGCATATATAATTTTTACAGTATATATTATAGTGGGTCAGACGGTATTCTTGTATATCTACATATTCTGAAGGACTGGCATTACACATTCCTTTTTTAAGGGTGAACTTCTGTTTAAATCCATAGATAAGTATAATACATGCATACCATTGCTTGATAGAACATTTAAGTTCACTAGAAAACTAGCCATCTTGTAATTTAAACACATGAATGAATCAATATGAAGTATTTATTTCTCTAAAACTTATAATATTTAGCAAGTCTCCTTTACTAAATGAAGACAATCCTCTAATTCCATCACATTTAAATGCAGTACTGACCTTAACCTAGGATAATTCTCTATATTTGTTCTCACAAATAGGATTAACCTATTACCTCTGCTTTTATATGACCTTTTCCTTGGGAGACCCAGATAAGTAGCTCTTCACTCCCCATAGGGCATTGACAAGAGGACAAAAACAATCCATCTAAGTCTAGCTTGGTGTACCAAGTTTATTGGGTTACCTAAAGAAGTGTGAGTGATTCAAAGTCAGCTACCATTAACTAAAAAGTCTAACGCAACATGAGTGAGGGTTTATGAAAGCTTGATCCCTGAAGATGCTCCCTATACAGCTTGTAGACCAGTGATTCTCAACCTTCCTATGCTGCGACACTTTAATACAGACCCCAACCATAAAATTATATTCATTGAGACTTCATAACTGTGATTTTGCTACTGCTATGAATCATAATGTAAATATCTGTGTTTTCTGATGGTCTTAGGCAACCTCTGTGAAAAGGTCATTTGAACCCCAAATGGGGTCATGCCCCACATGTTGAGAACCACTGTTGTAGAGTTTCACCAGAGTCTTATAGGACTACTGAGCTCAAAATTTCCTAAGTTCTATCACCTGACCAAGTCTGAGTCCGCCTCCTTTTTCTAGGAGGTACTTGCAATATGAAGGAAACAGCTGCATATTAGCAACTATGTTTCTTCTTATTATTTTTCTCCTCCCATTCCCACCCCTCCCCAAGCTGAGGACCCAACCCTAGTGCTCCACCACTGAGCTTAATCCTCGATCCCTTATTTTTCTTTTTGTCTTTTATTGAAAATAGATTTTTTTTCTCATATAATACATCCTGATTATGGTTTTCCTCCCTCTGACCCTTCCAGTCCCTCCCCTAATAACTGTATCTCTTAAACTCTTCGGAGGGCTAGATGTTATTCCAAGGCTGTCCATGAATCAAAATTCTTTTCATATTTTGCCCACTAGCCTGCCATCATTTTATGGAATCATAGTTTTATACTCATAGGATTCTCCCTTAAAATTTTATATACTATGTATACATATACACATGCTAACTAGAAAAGAACCGACAATAAGTTAAGTGCATGTTTGAGTTAATCTAAAATACAATCTATTGCACTCATCTATTCCAACTACTACCCACTCATTTCTCAGTTTGCTGTTGATAAATGATTTCAAGTACTTGTGACCCACCAACTTGAATTTAAAGAAGCAAGAGGCTTATTCGGTGAGCTGCTTCTCTTCTGAATATTCAAATCTAGACTTGACCGGTTTAGAGAAAAACAGAGGTTCTAATTTGGGAGCAGATTGTGTAGACTCATATGGGACAACTGAAATGGTTAGAGTCTACCCCTTGAAATCATACACAAAAGCACACACACACACACACACACACACACACACACACTATGGTAACTTTTGGGGCTGCATGTAAACTGAAGTTTCCAAAAACATATCAATAATTAGATTTGGATTTTTTTTCTTTGACTATTACATTCTATGATCCTTAACTGAAGAAAACCAATTCATGATAAAGTCTTTATTTCTATCGTCATATCTTTGACACACTAGGATATATATTGAAACAACATTTTTTACAACTTAATGTGAACAACTATTTGTAGGAAAGTGAGATGGTTATATAAAGAACAAATAAAGAGGAACTTCTCTACTAATATATATTATTTCCTAATTAAACTATTATCACACAATCTCTGAGTCATATGTCATTTTGTCTATACATTTTCATCCTTTGTTTAACACATTTCTGAGCTTAAATACTTGATATTCTAAAGTAAGATATCAACTTAGAATTTATTAACTATGGGAGAGAAGTCAAACAATTCAAATATATTAGTAAGACAAAAATTTTAGACCTATAAACTCCACTTTGAACTTTATTTCATGTTTATTTTAATAATTTGTATTTCAAATGATTTACAATACAGTACAATTGCTAATTTTTTTAAAGCATGACAAATGAAGACCTGCGGGCTGTTATTGTTTCACTGTGCACAAATTTAATCAACTTGTGTTACTGAAAATTAACGAATCTGTCACAGTCAGGGTAAGAGAGATTCCTTTGCTCATGGTCACAACTCATCTCAGATGCACTGGGCAGTTTTCCTGGAAGGCTCAGACTGTCTTATATCTCTTCTCAAAATTCACTATACAGTACACAGGTGTGTTGGTAAGAAATCCAATATAAAAATATAAAAAATATAAAAAATTGTGTCTTTTAGGTCATACCTTATTTCTTTTCTATGTATAATGCAAAATAATATGATGTGAATTACTTAGGAAGTTGTACTGTCAACTTTTAGACATTTATGTTTTGGTTTATAAGAAGACTTAAAGAGCTTGCTGGAGCTGTTCCAGAGCTGAGGCCAAAGAATACATATTTTCTCAAAGTACTCGCCTGGTTTCTCTGAATGAATGCTATTGGAGGAGGCATGTGCAGAGTGTTTACCACACATCAAGCTTTTCTTTACGATAGTTTTGCAATATAAAAGGAAATGCTTTATTTTGCTTAATTTCTGAACTAAGAATTTCTGCGTCATATTTTGTTATATTTAATATAGTTTATGAGTTGTAGTAATGGTTTCATTTTCTAAGAATTGTTCTATTGTTTGTGTAGAAATTTTAAAATATTATTCTCATGGCTTTTTGTTGGCTTATTTAACTTCCATATTTTCTAAATGCCTCTACTACATCCAGGGAGTAAGTGGTTAAGGCCAAATCTAAATTTGAATGAGTTTGGTTTTGTGATGACTCAGAGACAGATAAATCACCCTCTTTCTATTTTTATAGGCAACATTTATAAATATCTGTTCAAGTAATCAAGTCTCCCATTAAAATCCATATAATTAACACGGATTTAATATTTTATAGCATATATTCAAAAAATATAAGACAACAAAAGAAGCTTAATCAAATTGTTTTGCACATCCTTCAGTTCTTATCACATGGGCACATGTCTCTTAAAAACAGTAATTACTGTGAGGCTTGTAAGAATAAAAATTCTGCAGCTGGAATGGACTTCATATTTTTTTTCTTGTACTAGATAATGTTGAATAAAGCACCTATAGCCAATTTTGTCAAAACATATATGAAAGTTGGAATCCAATTATTCTGACCCTGGAATAAACACCTCCACTTAAGGTGTGCCGTTATGCTTTGTAGATTTTCCTGGACTTTAACAGTGGCTTCGGAAGGCTATAGGTTGTTTAGTAAGGTGTTTTTCCTATTAATAACATGACACAGTTGTGGCCCCAAGTAAAGAATGTTCTCTTCTTTCCTTCTGAGATGTACTAGAGGCTAAGAAAATTTGGCCCCGCATGTTTCAGAGTGGCTCATACTAAATACAGACTTACTGGTCAACTGTCAGACCTGCCTTCAGCCTAACCAAACTTTTGGACACAGTGTGTATCATGGTGGAATAAAAACGGTGCTACCACTGCTGAAATGGTTTCTAAGGCACCATGTTGTTCTCACATGAGATTTCTCACATCTGAAATGATGCTATTGTTTTATTCCATGGCTTTCTTTGGATTGAAATGTATCCATTAACATTTGTGTGCTTTTCTTTTCCATCCATCCTTCTCCATCTCATGAAAAGCACATCGGGGTAAGTTGACTCACAATGGCTGCTGAACACGTTGATTTTCAGCACCATCTTTTTTTTGTTGTTGTTTTCCTTTGTTTTATCTTTAGTATTTCTCTTTTCGGTTGTAACACAAACTGCACTGCCTCCGACCTCAAATGAAATTCATGACGTGCGCTCATTTCTACACAGAACAGGGAATCATTGGTTCAGAGAAATATTTATATTTGAATTACATTGGCCTTTCAAACACTATTATTGCTTGGCTCTATGAGATACATGCAAAGTGACCTTGCAGACTTTATTCCCCTAGATCGCGAGTCTTTCTTCAGGAGTTAAGTCATGTTTTCAAGATAAGCTTTGACCCTTAGTGCCGCTTGTCTGAAAATGTGCTTATCTAGGGCATGGGGTTCAGTTCTTCAAAGTGCATTCAAGAGATAAACTCATTTTTCAGTTTCCAGAACTTGTGTAGCCAGAAAGGGGTTTGTGTTGCCTTTCCTCAACAAGGCATTTATAATGGCCAAGTTAACCTAGATTTTAGCCGAATGTATGCCTTTTCCCATTGTTTCTTATGTGGATGATTATTTTTTTTTTTAGTGATTCCAATGGATTCTTATTTTTTAAGTAACAGTTTCAAATGTAAAATCCTTCTCTCATAGAAAGGGGAAATCACATAAGTTCCCATTCCTAGACAAAGAGCTATAGACAAGCTATGAATGCTGTGGAAAGGAGAAATAGTCTCCTCTAGGGAGGAGCACACAATCTGCTTATCTATTATGAAGTGATCAGCCCTGAAATCATATATGTGTGTGTTGGGTGTGTGTATGTGTGTGTGTGTGTGTCAGATACACACACACCCCACACACAGCTAACATCATATAGACTGAGCAAATTGTATTTATATTTTTAGAAATATTAAAACATATATGGAGGTATGGGGGCATCACTGGGTGGAGAGTCAGGGTTTGTGTAAAAACAAAGAAAAGAAAACCATGACTTTAAGGGACAGCAAGGAAGGGGTAGAAGGGAGGGTTTGGGGGGAGGAAAAGGAAGTGGTAAAATGGCAGAATTATATTTTAATTTCAGAAAGTTTTTTTTAATTATTAATAAAAGTGAAAAATGGGCAAAATAAAATCCTCTTCTTGGAAACACATTTAGGGTATATTGTCCATCCATAAAATAGGGCTTTAAAGTAACAGTCAGACAAAACATGTACAACATTTATAAGGCATTTACATTGGAATAGGCTTTTGCAATATAAGCAACATGGTCAGCTCATGAAAGCATTTTGGTTGGTGCTAGGTATTACTGTGACTAAAGTAACTTTTTTTTTCCATAAATATAATGACAGGCACTTGCTACACAGTCATAAGAAGAGTTCACACCCGAGAAGCCATGGCTGGACATCCTGCCAATGCCTATAACACAAGCTCAAAGGGGACTGAGACAGGAAGGTCATGGAGACATTCTGGCTTCTAGCCTAGCTGCATAAATGCAAGCCCAGCTTCAGTGGGAGAACTTGTCTCAAAGGGAAAGACATAGAGTGATAGGGAAGAACACCCAACACCCTCTTCTGGCTAATAGTATCACCTTGTTCTTTAGTATTAGTTTTTTTTATGTTTTCTTTACTTTATTGATAATCTCCAATTGCTAAGCCAAGATTATTTAACAGTACAATACTTGTTTTAGTTTGCATAATATATAATATTTAGTAAGATGTTCAAAATTGTTGGCCTGATGGTTTCTGTAAGCTCTTCTACATCACTCTTTCCAGCAGCATTTAATGCCATCCTATACATTTAGCCCACTGCTTTTCCATTATTTCTCTTTCTGAAGGAAAACAATGGCAAGAAATGAGATTTATCTTTCTAGTCCATTTTAAATGAGATATCAGAAAACAATAGCAACAGCAAAAAAGAATGATTCTCTGTCAGTGTAATATACTGGCATACTGACTCTCATTCTCAAACTGAGCTTCCAGCTGTCTTGAATGTTTTAGGGCTTGTGTATAGCCAAGTGTCAAAACCATTTCCTTAGTGCAGTCACTAAATCAAGATCAGAAGAAGGTAAAGCCAGGGGAGAGAGCATAGATAGCAAGGTTGACAACTAAGAGGGAAGATGCTGAGGTATGGAATTTAGAAACCAGAAGAGAGAATCCCACTTGCTTGCTCCATACCTTTGGAGGCCTGACTGGTCCCTCTGCTTATGAATACAACTCTCTGCGCCCAGTAAGGGAATTAGTGAATGCATATTATCACAGGAGCATGCAAACTGAATGCTTCCAAGCTAAGCAAAAGAGGTCTCAAAATGAGATGAAGCACCCAAGCAATCTAACCGAAGTGATACCCATGCAACTTGGAGCATCTCCAATGCTTTCCAGTAAATCCTCAGTTACAATCAGGAAGTGAGTGGGGAGTTCAGACCTTGGTGTCAAGTAAAAAATGAAATCATTTAATGGGAAATCATGCGAGCCCCTCTAGTTTTCAAAGCCAGCATGGGTAATTGTATTCCTTAATCACATCCTGTGTATGTGTTTTCTCCTTTGTAATGGTTTGGAAAGTGACTAAACTCAAAATAAATTGAGGGAAGAAATTATGTAAATCCCAACTCAAATTCACAAATAAATTAAATTCTTTCCCTGGGACTAGTTCCTATATTCCAGAGCAGAGAGAGAGAGAGAAGAGGGGAGAGTTTAAACCTGAATGAATTGAGAGCTTAGTGTAATCTATTTATTTCAGAAAGAGCCTTATGAGTGTTATTGGAATCTATATAAATTCTACTTAAATGTTATAAAATTTTTTCTATTTTCACTGAGTGTGAAAATGCCCAATAATCAGACACCTACACACACTTTGACACACATAATATCCTTGTACTTTCAAAATCAATCAAAATTGTTAATGTTGAATTTGAAACTTAAATTTATGAAGCTAGCTATATATTTAAGTAATCAGTGTTCTGAAGCATCTGATTGGGATTGTTGACATAGTCATGTTCAGAATAATTATGTTAATGAAGATATATATTATCAGCTTGCAGATGTTTCACAAATTAGGTGGCACCATACACTATTCACATTTGCATCTAAGAATTCCAACTAGCTCCTCGTGTTAGCATGATATTCATAGAATTTATCAACAAATTCATATTCTTTAATAATAGAGTTATAAATCCACCGCTCACTTCCTCAAATTGATAACCTTCCTATTTCTGCCTTCCAAGTGTTTAAAGTATAGTCCTGTGTAGCCATGCCTGTACATACTAGGTTCATTCTTCAGTTGAGCTCTGAGGGGATTATATCTTACCCTGTAGACTGTTGGCTTTTAAGAGATGAAGGTATTTTCAATGAATAACTGTGAAATCTATGTACACTTCCTACTAACAATTTTTAGGGAAGGCATAGTCTCTGACACAACATTAAGAGCTGATGATTAAATTGTCTAATATTTTGAAATTTTTCTCAAGCTGCATGTTTATTTTTTTCTAGTTCTACCTAAGCACTTTCAATGAGGTAAATTGTACTATTGGATCTCAAGTCATGCTTATTAACTAGAAGATTGCAATAACAGGTACACAATCACTGAATCTGTAACTGCAAGTTCACCAAGTCCACTTCTGTCTATAACCTATATCCACCATCTTTGGGCTGAGATCCAAAACCTGGTAAAAATTGTAAAAATAAAGCAGGCTTCCTTTGGAGCTGTATGGAGATAAGACTCACCATGTATGAGAGCAAGGATGGAAAGACCATTTAAGTAAATAAATACATGAGCCACAGGAAAATAAAGCTTGGATCATATCTTTCCAGTTTTATTCACAATGAGGAAAATGCAATTAGCCTTCTTTTTTAGTTATTAAAAGTTTCAGATTTTGTGGCCAAATTGTTGGGGTTTAAATTTTAACTTTTGTCTTCAATTTCTCTGATTCCAAGTAGCCTGCACTCATTAGTGTTCATATAGCTGTGTGTGTCTATACATATCCTAGTGAATTACTGTGGAAATTAAATTAATTTAATTGTGCATATATATGCTCATTTGCACTTAGGCTAGATAAGGCTTCAGACAGAGTAAATGGTGAATTTTTGTGAGACATGGTACTTAATTTATCTACACCTAAAACTTTTGTTCTTTCAAACACTATTGTACATCTTGCAAGAATATGAAGTTGCACACTGATAATGAGATAAAATGCTAGACAAATCTCTATCATAAATAATACCTTTTCATATACACAAACCAATTGATACTCTAAACAAAAAGTTAGTAAAATAGCTAGAGTGTATTTACATTGTTTGAATACATAAGATAATGAGTTTATCTGAGAGAGTTCATGGAATCCTAATAGGAAGGATAAATCATGCATTGCTGCTGATGGATGAGTTTGAGATATGATTGACTGTGGTGTAAAAAAATTTCTTAGTGGGCAGGGTGGTGGTGGCGTGTGCCTTTAATCCCAGCACTCGGGAGGCAGAGGCAGGTGGATCTTTGTGAGTTCGAGGCCAGCCTGGTCTCCAAAGTGAGTTCCAGGAAAGGCACAAAGGTACAGAGAGAAACCCTGTCTTGAAAAACCAAAAAAAAAAAAAAAGAAGAAGTTTCTTATCACAGTAAAAGTACTATTCATGGGCAGGTAAATTAACTGAGGTATTTATAGAGTGGCTCATATTATGAGCATTCACTGAGCAGAAGAATCAAGAAAGACAGTAGGGGCCTGACAAATATTTGTCTTTAAAAATATATTAAAATGTGTGTATAAATTTAAAATTATAACATAATCACATCACTTCCCTCTCCCTTTCTCCCATTCAACTCCTCCAATGTATCCCATCCACTTTGTTCTCATTCAAATCATGGTCTCTTTTTATTTTATAATTGTTGTTGGTGTGTGTGTGCGCACATGTGCGTGCGTGCGTGCGTGCGTGCGTGTGTGTGTGTGTGTGTATGTGTGTGTGGTGTCCCTGAATATATAAATATAACATGCTCCATATGATGTTGGTCCTTTGAGAAGCTAATTAGCCTTTATCACTA